TGAGTACTATTTCAGATACATAAATGAAATTTCACATGTTATTAAAATATCTAATTCTCTGATTTCTATCACATTTTGAGTAATTTTCGTTGACCGAAGGCAGTAATTCACGCAATTTCTGATTCCTCAAAAAAATGCATGTGAATTTATAAAGTAATATTTATATTCCGCACTATTATATACATTTTGTTTGGCGATCACTTGGTGTGCAATTTATTTTTCTACGAGATTATATTCTATTTTAAAAAGTTTAAGTAATTAAAAATGGATTTAAATTATTGTCTATATCCCGAGTTACCATCACCCGTATTGTTTTATAAGAATATTCGAGAAAGTTTAGGGGGATATTTATCGTTTTCGCCCGAGAAAATCGTATACATTTCATAGCGTACGTCTTAATAAGTAGATATATAGATCTAAATCAAATTTGAATTAAATAGTTCATTTCTTCATATTCTAAAACTGGAAAATATAATGATATAATGTGTGTCATTTACAACATTCGATGTTTAATTATTTTTTTCTCCGACAATCAATGAAGCCGTTAAAGTTGTGTACATTCCGTAGTTTAAACATTTTTTTGTTGTTTTTTTTAGGATATAATTTTTCTACTTCTATGGTGCAACAGCTTTTTTTCTAAATGTGTTTAAACAGATCCGCTAATTGATTACAATTTAATAGCTAATTCTGCCCCAATAAAAGCAATACACTATCCAAATTAAAGTTTACTCTAATAACTATGGCAAACCTTTTTAAAATTAAGTTATCCTAAATTCTCGTTGACTAGTTCCAACACATTTAATACCTGAAAACTTTATTCAACAATTTATAACATATAGAAATATATTTAAACAACATAATTCTTAAGCTGTTATTTCTTATGCCGAAGTACCACTAATGGCAACCTAAATCAATCAAAATGACCCTCCCGCCCCATCCTTCTAAAGTACTAACATTACCCACATCCCTCCTCCTTCAGCCTCTGTACCATTTCCTGCAGTATCCTTTGTGTGGGAGCACTTGGTAGGATCATGTGGTCAGCCTCAGAGTCGCTTGAGTTACTTTCATTCTCCGTGCTGCTGTCTTCCTCGCCGTAGTCAGCTATCTCTGGCAGGATGCCGGCTACAACCATTATGCCACTGTTTTTTGGGATTCCTGCTATCAGCTATTCCTAGGTGCTTTGATTATAGGGAGTTTGACCATAGGGGGTTTGACCACAGCGGAGGTTTGACCACAGCGGAGCTTTGACCCCAGGGGTTTTGATCACAACGGGACTTTGACCACAGAGGGGGGTTAACCATAATATATAGATTTTAAAATAGAAATTATAAACTGTAATTTGATTTAAATTTATGCTACAATTAATACGATTTTATACATGTTTCCTGAGAGTACATAATTAAAAATTAACATGTATTTAAAAAAAAGTCAAGAATGATATTTTAGTGGCCGCATAAAGGCTGGTGCTAGGCCTCATAGATTTATTTTAAATATAAATGGAAAACAAATAATGCGTCAAGTTTCACAAATAAATAATGTAGATGTACTTGAAAATACATAGCATATATAAAGGATAATAAATGATACAAAACTTGCCAACAATATAGTCAATGAAGTAATACTTAAAATGGTTAACTAAATGACAGATGTGCTATAGCACGCAAATATGTCAGTACATCTGTTTGACCATATGTCTGGACAGCACGTTGTACTTTTTCGTGCAGCATCTTATATCGCTTCTCAGCTGGATAGCTTACCCCTGCAACACCTTGCAAGAAAGTTGTCTTTTGCCGTGTGCAGTCCATTTGTAGACCTTCAAGGAAACGCCACATTGTTGGGTGACTACGTTGGAGGAGAGGCGAAGACAGTAATGCCATCCTTCACAAATATTATTTGTTCGTGCTACACCATCGCCAATCGTGTGCATTTGATTCCAAGTTTCAACTGGAAACAAAGCAAGCTTGTACTTTTCGCCACGACCACTGATTCGACGACCTCGGGTGTAGGTGTGTTCGAAGTATGTTTCCACCTCGTCGATGTTGTCCACTGCTGGCATAGAATCTGTTAACAATTCGAACGCTTGTGTAACATCTTGGACTGGTACATGAGATAGGGCGGCAAGACAACGAACAGCGATACGTATATCGTTATTTGTTTCATATTCCACTTTCAGCCCAACTTCGTGTACCTTGCGTATCACGCTTTGGGCAAGATGAAAGTAGCAGCCTGTAACACGGGCATTAGGAAATGTTTCTTGAAATGCTCCCATTGCTGCCATTTCATTTCTGGTGCTACTAAAGGAATAAGACGTACAACTTCTCGCAGTAAACGGTCGTATGTCGCACGTGTTTTATTCGGCAAGAGACAGTATAAAGCAGCAGGGCTGATGCCGTTAACAAATTGAAAATGCACAACTGGAAAAATAAGTCTGGCACTGCCTTGAAGGTTCCATCTGCTAGTTTTTGCCAAACCATAGATAATGTTTCCTTCGTGTGAATGTTGAGGAATCTTCTCGCCTACAATCATAAGATCTTGTGCAACTATTGCAGCTTTACACTTACAAGTTAATTCTTCGTACACCGCCAAACGCGTGACACGCCCTGGCGTTCTCTGTACAACAAAGTACTTTTACCTTTGTTTGACGTGTTATACTCTCCAAGATTCTCCATGGTTTTTAGATAGAGTGGTTTAGATGACTTGTATTTATAAATGATGATTTAAAATATTATTACATTATGTCGCAATTTAAAATATAATTCAGCAACTTTTAAAATAATTCCTTACCATAAATGGACAGCATTGGACAAACCACCTGAGATCAAAGACCTTATATGGATAAAACACTTGTGATCAATTTCAGATACAGCGCTTGTGATCATACACCCAATGACAAACCGCCTGTGATCAAAGACCATCTGCTGATAAAACACCTGTTGTCAAACCCCCAATGTTCAAACCCTTTATGATCAAATCCCCTATGGTCAAAGCACCGCTATGGTCAAGGCCCCGCTGTGGTCAACCCCTTATGGTCAAAGCCCCTATGGTCAAAGCCCCCATGTGGTCCAACCCCCTATGGTCAAACCCCCTATGGTCAAAGCCCCTGTGGTCAAAGCCCCTGTGGTCAAAGCCCCCATTTGGTCCAACCCCCTATGGTCAAAGCCCCGCTGTGGTCAAAGGTCCGCGCACCCATCAGCTGTCTGGTGGATCATCACTGCCACCATTTGCTTTTTGCTTTTTATCATTTGAGTCAGAGTTGGCTTCTGTAGTACTTTTCCTGTTAATTGCACCCTGCAATAATAGCTTTTGTGAATTTGATTTTGTGATGGAACTTGATGATTTGTTGCCGTCTGGAGATCTTTCTTTTTTCTCATTTACCTTTACTACATTAGCATTTTTCATTTCTTGTATGACAGACTTCTCTTCCATGTTCCGATTCTTTTCTACCTGCACCTGCCTGTTCGACGGGTAGTTCAGGAACTAAACCTGGTCATCATCAAGACCTTTTACACTACTCCATAATTTAGTCTCTTCTTCAAGCTATATATCCTTCAGTTCTTTGTTAGCTGGTAAGTGATTAAAAAGTCTCATAGTGTCCTCCTCTGTACATAGAATCTTCTGGTTTTCGAACTCGTTCCCACCCAGCTTGCCGGCGGTCCCTTTGCTCTTGAACTTCTTTTTCAGTGACAAAAACTTTGAATTGGCCACTCATGTTTAATTACAATCCAGGTAGCTATAAAGTTCGATTGTCCATTTATTTATAAGCCTAGATTTGTGTTTTTTAACCCATAGTTTAAACATGTGAGATGCGACGTCATAGTTTGTTGTGTCACTTACATCTTCGCTAGCTCTATCTAGTCACAACCATAAACACATTTCCGGTTGAATAATTAAAAAACTATTTCCACATTCAAATATGCCTTTTTTTCTTCTTTAAATAAAATTTAGTTTATACATTTAACACACCCAGCATATTATTTTCAAAAAAGTCCGTAGCATTAAGTTCTCCGTATATCGCTGAAGTGCGCACTTGGGCTTTTTTATTAGGATAATAGTCGAAGTTTAATTTACAATCATGCAGGGAAAAAAATCTTGGAACTCTGATACATTTTTAAATTATGTCTTTCATTTTCCTAATATCCTTGCCAGAATTTAAGAGGAAATGCACACATACACACACAATTACCAAAATCCTGATTTTTATAGTCTTAATGGGTTTCCTGCATTTTTGTATTCTATGTTCGAATTGTATCTTTTTGATATGTCATATACATGCCAAACTGAAAAATACATTTAGTTGGGTTTCCTTAACTCGTTTAAACGCATGACTTTACCTCTAATATTGGCATTGGATCATACAAAACAAATGTATGTAGGGTTAGCTAAAAGGTAGATTAGTGTTTTGATGATCGAAGGGCCTTGTGGAGGAAAAGTGGTTTTGTGAAGGTTTATACAGACAGACACTTAGAGAGACAGACAGGCAGGCGGGTAGACATGGCAAGATCTAGTCGACATTCTCATTCTCTTCGACAATAATAGTCAAAGTTTAATATTCAACCATAAATGAAAAAAAAATCTGCGATCTCAAACTATATTGAAAAGTATGTTTTAATAACAGGTTATATTATTAACAGTCTATACATTTAAAAATATTTCATAATGTTACCTGGAGCTAGCAATTTCCTAACGTTCTTACGTGTGAATCTCAGTGTGATCGGCGGGCGAGCGATAGTTTCAGCCTCTTGCTCTTCGGCATCTTCATAGGATAAATGGGTCAAGATAATTCAACATGATAAGATATTATACGATACAATGCATTATGTCAATAATAGATGAAGTTTATTTTACAGTCATATAGGGAAAAAATATTCCGGGATCCTTGATTGTATAGAAAATAAACTATGTATTAAATACAAGGTTCCATCATTTATAGTCTATGCATTTAAAGAAATGGCTACACTTACCTGACTCTGACCAAAAATTAAAGTCCAGCAAATCTTTTGCTGTTTTTCTCTCCCTTGGATCTTGTTTACAGGCAAGACGCAAGAAGCGTTTGAAGCCTTGTGGCCAATTGTGAGGAACGGATAACTCGTGTTTTTTTGCGATGGCGTTGCCAATTATTATTGCACTTGTCATCTCTACAAATGGGATAGTTCCAGTCAGCATCTGATAAACTGTACATCCAAGACTCCTGTTAACAATGTTAGCAATTAATAATAAAATTTGGTCTGAAAAGTCCAAACTGTATTTAAGTTTCTCAGTATGAAATGACAAAAGTATAAAAAAAATATTTTTATTACCAAATATCAACTGCAGTGGTGTGATTTACCGGAAGAAATAGTTCTGGGGCCATCCAGTTGACTGTCCCTACTCCGTTTGTAGTTGCAGACGACAGTGTATTCAGAATTTTAGCCACTCCAAAATCAGCAATCTTGATGTTTTGATCATCAACCATTAAAATGTTTGAAGCTATGAAATAATTAATGTACATTTGTGTTGTCTAATTATCACTGACAAAGTCCGAAGATCTTTACTACATTTTTATTTACAGGCAAAAATATATACAGTAATGTTTCAATTATTTTAAGATGACCAATAATATGTATTTATAAATTATAGGATGCTAATAATATTTGTTAAAAAGTAGTTTTAATATTTAAAAAGACAAGAAATTGAAACGTCAAAATTTCAACAACAAAAAACACAAATTACAAAGAACTAGAATAATTGTTTTTAAAAATACCATGATCAGAGACTTTTAATTAGCACAAACAGTCTTATAATAATTTTGTAATTATACATTTTAAATATGATATAAAAAATTCTATTCAACTGTGTTTAACAGCTTACCTTTTATGTCTCTGTGTATTACTCGTTTTTCGTGAAGATATTCAAGACCTTCTAGAATCTGATGTGCAAATCTTGCGGTTTCTTCTTCTGACAGATGTTCCTCTTGTTTTGATTTCATATATGTTGCCACAGAACCCTGTAAAATGTGATTATTTTTGTGTGTTCAAAAATAGATCATAGTATCCTTTCAGTACAAATCGTCTTAGAGAGACAGACAGACAGGCAGGCAGGCGGGTAGACATGGCAAGATCTAGTCGACATTCTCATTCCCTTCGACAATAATAGTCAAAGTTTAATATTCAACCATAAATGAAAAAAATATTAGTTTAATATAATTCCTCTCTTGCTGCTTCCCCACTCGAGCATGGGTGTGCAACAAGAGCAGGTTCACATGAAAAAAGCATACATGAAATGCATATATATATATAATGTGCTTGTCATAAAGTTCAATATTTTTAAGAACATAAACTACATGACATTTATAAAACTCAAATGAATTCCGTGTCTTCGTTATTTAATCTACAGTAAATCTGTTATCTGTAGTAAAGCTGAAGTGGATTTGGTAGAATCCATCTTTGTCATCTTTTTCCGAATGCGTTTCATTATCGTGGACACTCCAGGGCTCTTCTGTGACGAAACAAATGTCACAGTAGCAACAAAGGAACACAAGTTCCTCCGTGTGTTTCCTCGCATGGTGACTGATTGCTTGACTGCTTTTAATTTTGTTTTTGCAGTGCAAGCATTTTGTAAGTTTCGGATCCTCATTTTTATGTTTTATCTGATCTTCTTCGATGTCAAGATGTATCCAGCAGAGCTCGCATCTTATGTCTTCTTTCTCTATGCTCTCTGTATCCTTGATATCTTCGATTAGTTCAGCTTTGATGATTGGATTGATTGCTGTTTTTTTAGTGTTACCAAATTTTGGTGTCTTAAGTGATCTTTTGATTTTCGGCGGGCTGTCGTCCTTTTTTTGTTTGTTTGTTGTTGTGTCGGTTCCCATTGTTGAGTGTTGCTGTCGTTGTTTGTTGAGCGCTTTTTCTGAGTTTGTGTTTGTTTTCGTACTGAAGATTTCTATTTGTGTTGTGTCCAGCTTGCTTATTGATTGCGGGGGGGGGGGGGGCTTGCATTGGGGTTCCTAGTTGTATAATGTCTTGCAACAATTTGATGCTTGTTTATGTTTCCATAGTAGACTATGGTTCGGGTGGCTTAACGAAATCTTGGGCCGCACCCTTTACAGCTGCAGGCAAATGTAAAGAGGTCAACCAAACCTGCGTGTCCATATAATAAGACATCTAATCAGCAATTATCAAATTCTTCTACTCAACTATGGCAGAGCTGACACCTGGTACTTCCCCTCACAAGCCGTGGACGTCACCACAATGCATAACACGAGCAAAACACACGGTCCATATACACTGCATTTCTCACTTCATCAAATCGCCAAAATCAACGGGACCCTTAATTGTGTACCCCCTACACTTGACAATGCTACACTCATACAAGCACTACGCCTATTCAGTAACAAAAAGCCATCCATAAACACAATCCAACACACTAATTATCGCAGGTTTTCTGTCTACACTAATAAACCCTCAACTATCCCGAAAAACTAAACATAAACATAAACATAAACATAAACATAAACATAAACATAAACATAAACATAAACATAAACATAAACATAAACATAAACATAAACATAAACATAAACATAAACATAAACATAAACATAAACATAAACAAACATAAACATAAACATAAACATAAACATAAACATAAACATAAACATAAACATAAACATAAACATAAACATAAACATAAACATAAACATAAACATAAACATAAACATAAACATAAACATAAACATAAACATAAACATAAACATAAACATAAACATAAACATAAACATAAACATAAACATAAACATAAACATAAACATAAACATAAACATAAACATAAACATAAACATAAACATAAACATAAACATAAACATAAACATAAACATAAACATAAACATAAACATAAACATAAACATAAACATAAACATAAACATAAACATAAACATAAACATAAACATAAACATAAACATAAACATAAACATAAACATAAACATAAACATAAACATAAACATAAACATAAACATAAACATAAACATAAACATAAACATAAACATAAACATAAACATAAACATAAACATAAACATAAACATAAACATAAACATAAACATAAACATAAACATAAACATAAACATAAACATAAACATAAACATAAACATAAACATAAACATAAACATAAACATAAACATAAACATAAACATAAACATAAACATAAACATAAACATAAACATAAACATAAACATAAACATAAACATAAACATAAACATAAACATAAACATAAACATAAACATAAACATAAACATAAACATAAACATAAACATAAACATAAACATAAACATAAACATAAACATAAACATAAACATAAACATAAACATAAACATAAACATAAACATAAATAGAAACATACCTTAAACATAAACATAAAAAACATAACATAAATATAAACTTAAACGTAAATACAAACACAAACACAAATAAAAATACTAAAATGAACATAAAAAGAAACATCAATCCATCCCTTACCACAAACTCAAACACTCTTAACTTCAGAAATGAGTTCTTAAGTACAAATAAAATAATTTTTAAACAATGCAGCTTTGAAGGTGTTAAAAAAAAAAAGTAAAAGCTGAATTATAAAAATAGCAGCATTTTAAATGATGAAAGTATATGATTTTGTTATATCCGTATACCCGTTTCTATTTTAGACTGTTAAATAAATATTAAGGATGAAAAAAAATAGTTTTAGTTTCACTTGTGATATGAAATTTGATGAAAAATTAAGATTTCTCAAACCAATTTATTAATTTCTACGTTATAATCACCTTGCAAGTAATAAGTATGCTAATTATCAAATTTTCGGAAGATGAATTTACTGTTTAAACGTAAGAACTCCACATTACAGCCACTCACAAATTAATCAATCATTCAAATTCTCAAATGCTTTTTGAAAACCTCAACAAATCTAGGCAGTATGTCTAGCATAATCAATTGTTCTATCTATCTAATTCTATACACTAATAAATTTTAAGTTCGTTTACAACTGTGTATGTTTATTTTTTGTTGTTTTTTATGTGTGGTTTTTTTTTCTGTTCCGCTTGATCAGAGATCTGCACTATGTGGAGAGCTATAAAATACGTATTTTTCCAAAATGGTTATACACAAATGTATTTAAAGATAATTTATTTATCGATATATTCGTTTGTTAAAACACCCCTTTAATTATAAAACAGAATTAATACTTTATTTTCACAAATATTTAAAACCTGAAGTCACTTGAAACGAATTTGAATTTATCAAATTGAAACGAAACTTATAAAATTTTAACGCCTGAAAATTATACCCAATAAACTAACTTCTTTGATTATAGAGTAAAAATAGAATGTTGAGTCTAATGCCGAAAACAATACACTATAATAATTAAGTCATCGATACTTGGTAATAAAGACACTAGCATTACCGCCTAATTTTGTTGTCTAATCTTAAGCGATTTTCAATTGAATACGTTTGAAAGTTCTTCTTATATGAGTACACAATAAATTTAGCTAGCTCTACCGATTACTTAATTTAAGCTGTCGGAAGAAAGTGGACCACACCAAAATTAACTAGTAGACCTATAAAAACACTAATTTAATCCTTAAATATTTTGTATATCTTTGTTTTTATCTTCACAGATAATCTAATTAAATAAACCGGGAGTGATCTCCCCTAAACTTTCTCGAATATTCTAATATAACACTACGGGGGATGGCAACTCGGGATATAGACTTCTAGACATGATTTTTAATCCATTTTAAATACTCAAATTTTTAAAAATAGAATATAATCTCGTAGAAAAAAGAAATGCACACCAAGTGAACGCTAAATAAAGATGTGCATAATAGTGCGCAATATTATTAGTACTTTATAAATTTACATGCGTTTTTTGAGAAATCGGAAATAGCGTAAATAAGTACTTCAAGTCAACGGAAATTACTCAAAATTTGACAGAAGGTAGAGAATTAGATATTTTACTTACATATCAAATTTCATTTATCTATCTGAAATAGTACTCAAGTTATAGGCTTTTGAAAAATTCAAAGTAGAAAAAGTACCACTTCCGGTTATCGGAAATCGCTCAAAAGTTGATACGGATCTACGATTTTGATAAAATACTTATATATGAAATTTCATCAACCTAGCTGTAACGGTACTCAAGTTATCGTGTTTACACACGGACACACACACACACACACACACACACAGACACACAGACATACGGACAAGATTGCAAAATTATGTTTTTCCGTATCAGTGAGATGTAAAACGTCGAGATTTGCAAAAATCTCGATTTTTTTTTTTGCACGATTACAAGACTTTCTCTATACTTCGTATATACGAGAAAGTAAAAATATAATGAATTTCTCTACAGCTACCGAAAAAACTAGATTTAAGCCTTTTTTTCCTTTGTCCGTGAACAAGTAGAGAATCGGCCTAGATCTAGATTCTAGAGTCTAGGGTAATCAAGGGCAATCACACAATGAATGAGTAAGGTTCCTTACTATACTATATCAGGCCTTAAGGGATAGGCTCCGATAAAAAAACAATTAATACTCGTTAGGAAACAATTGTTTCTCTATAGCTGTTTTAAGGTACATCTGCATATGTGTTTCCATAAAAATAAATTGGTGGGAAAATCTTGGTAACTATGACAACGGCGGCCATCTTGAAAAATTAACCCCTTCGTAGGTGTTCCACCATTCACAGAATATTATATTTTAAGCCAGATAAATAATTAATTCAAAATCTTCTACTCTATTTTGGGGTACTTTGCTAAAAAAATTAAGTGCATATCTTCAAACTAATTTTTTTTTAAATTTTCAAATTGTGGGTGCGTTAAAAACATTAGTTTTAATGCCCCAAAATTCCCCAAATTAAGTGTTTTTAAAAGTAAAGCAGATTTTTAGTCGCACAATTTGTGGTGTCAAATTAACAAATTATGAATTACTAAAAAGTAGAAGATAAAACAAATATATT